TCCCAAGCCCATCAGACCCCCTCCATCTCCCCATGGAACCCCCCATGGAATCCCCCATGCCCCCCCCCCATGAAATCTGCCTCTCTATGACATCAGCCGCAGCACCAAGGGACCTGTATCCAGCACCCGTATCCCTGGGGCAGTTGCGCTTTGGGCACAGTGGTGGTAGCAGCTCCTTGGTAGCAGCTCCTTGGTGGCAGCTCCTTGGTGGCAGCTCCTTGGTAGCAGCTCCTTGGTGTCACCCTCAGTGGTGGTGGCAGCACCTTGGTGGCACCTTGGGGTCACCCTCAGCGGTGATGACAGCGATGGCTTTGCTCCATGTCTTCATCCTGCTGGCATTGGCCTGGCTGGTGCATGGCTCCTGGGACAGCTGTGGGTGAGTGGCACCAGGCTCCGGGGCTCCTGGTATTCCATAGGGAGATGCTTCTGCTCCCAGCCATGGTCACACCAGTGGGGTGGTGGGACTGGGAGAGCCCCGCTTCCTCGCCATCACCCCAGGCGGGGGCACAGCACAGCTATGGGGCACCCCATAGGGTCCCTTGTCCCTGCATCACCCAGTGGGGCGGGATGATGCCCGCCCTTCATCCCTAACCATCCAGTGTTGGGCTTCTGCTTCCAGAGGGACCTGCGGTACCCGTCCCATGGCTGATTCCTATGGGATGTCGCGCATCGTCGGAGGCGTGGATGCGCACCAGGGCGCCTGGCCATGGATGGTCAGCATCCAGTTCCCCACGGCCACCGGCTTCTCGCACATCTGTGGGGGGTCCCTCATCACCCCGCAATGGGTCCTCACGGCCGCTCACTGCTTCGTCGGGCAAAAGTAAGGGGGAGAAGGTATTCCAGCCATAGGGAATAGCCAAGGAGCAGCTCCCATCCTGTCCCCTTCCCCATCCTGGATGCACTGGGAAGAGCGCTCCGGAGAAGGCTGCTTCCAGCTTGACAGCCCTTGAGCCTAAGGCGTGCTGGGGCAGTGCTTTCCTTTGGGCAGCAGCAGGAATGTGGCTCCTTCCCACCCCTCCATAGAATGGGATGGGATGGAATGGAATGGATCATGGAATGGGTTGGATGGGAAAGGAGCTTGGGATCATCACCCCTTGTCCTATGGCTCCAATCCCTGCTCTTCCGCTCCCTCCCAGCTTCACCACGGATTGGTTCGTGATGGTCGGAATAACGGACCTGGCTTGGGCCAATTCCGAGACCCAGAAACGTTGGATCCAGAGGGTCGTGGTCCATGAATATTACACCAACGCCTCTGGTGGCTTCGACATTGCCTTGGTGGAGCTGGACCAGCCGGTGCAGTGCGGGTACCACGTGCAGCTCGCCTGCCTGCCCGATGCGACGCTCAGCGTGTCCCAGCTCTCCGAGTGCTTCATCAGCGGATGGGGCGCGAGGGAGGCCAGAAGTGAGTGCCCGATGGCCCCGTTGGCCTTGGGATGCCGGGTCATGGATTCATGGAATGGGATGGAAGGGAGGGTAAAGCTCATCCAGGTCTATTGGATGTTGCTCCGACTGGGGATGGAGCATCCCAACCTTCTCCATGCAACCCATCCCAGTCTCCCACCACTTCCTTCTCTCCAACTTGAGCATCCCTGATTCAGTTGGAACCCATCACCCCTTGTCCCATCGCTGAAGGTCCCTCCATGTCCTCCTTATGTTGAGGATGTAGAACAAAGGGGATGCAGCCCATGCCATGGGGCGGTGTTGATGGCTCCCATTGATCTTTTCAGCCCCAAATACCCCCATATCCATCCCTTCTCCCCACAGTCCTGACCCCCTTTGTGTCCCCACAGCAGGGGCATCGTCCCCATCTGCCCTGCAGGAGGCCAAGGTCCGCCTCATCGATGCCAAGCTCTGCAACAGCAGCCTATGGTACCGAGGGGCCATCAAGAGCCACAACCTGTGTGCTGGGTACCCGCAGGGTGGCATTGACACGTGCCAGGTAGGGATGTGCCCCTGGGGCTCCCTTCTCCTCTCCCATCTGCAGGGCCTTGCTCTGCATCCCCCTTTATCCCAGCTTTGGAAGTGCATCCAGCTCCTGCTCCATCATCCCTGCTCAGGGACCATAGAGGTTGGAGCTTTAAGAGCATTGAGATTCCAGCACTAAACCATGTCATGAGCATGGATTCATGGAATGGGTTAGGTTGGGAAGGAGGTTAAAGGATCCAGTTCTAAGCAAGGGGCAAGGATGCCTTCCATTAGACCAGGTTGCTCCAAGCCTTCTCCATCCAACCCATCCCAGTGTCCCACCACCCTCATAGGGAACAATTTCTCCTTATCTCCAACCCATAGTCCCTCGTTCCAGTGGGAACCCATCACCCCTCGTCCTATGGCTCCAATCCATGCTGAAGGTCCCTCTCCACACCCAAATGATGAAGGAGAACCCTTCCATCCACATAGGGTAACAGTGGTGGTCCCCTCCGGCATTGTCATGGTGACATATCCCCATCCCCATCCTCATCCTCTCCCGTTCTCCTCCATAGTGTGGCACCAGTGGTCCCCTCTGCGTTGCCATGGCCACCCCTCCCCATCCTCTCCCGTCCTCCTCCATATGGTGACAGCAGTGGTCCCCTCAGGCGTTGCCATGGCCACCCCTCCCCATCCCCATCCCCTCTCTGTTTCTCCTCCATAGGGTGACAGTGGCGGTCCCCTCATGTGCCGGGACAACAATGCCAACTTTTTCTGGGTTGTGGGGCTGACGAGCTGGGGCCGCGGCTGCGCCAGGGCCAAGCAACCGGGGGTCTACACCTCAACAAAGCACTTCTATGAGTGGATCCTCCACCATCTGGGGACGTTCCACTCCGCGGGAGCCTCCGCGACGCCCCCGACATGGAGCCACCAGCACGGCTCGCATGCGCCCATCCAGCAGACGATGCCGGCTCCGACGGCCTCGAGCACCAGTGACATCTGCTCCTTCCCATACCGGGTGCTCGTGGAATTTGGCAGTCGGGTGCAGGAGTTGCTGCAGGCTCTAAGGGGGAAGAAGCCTTGAGGAGCGGCGTCGCTTGAAGTTGGCTTCAGCTTCAATACAGTTGCCTTATTTTCCCATAGAGAGGATGCTTTGCGTGCCCACCTCTTCTTCTGGTCCGTGCGCAGGGATGGGGATGAGGGATGGAGGGCAGGGAACAGTGGGAAGCGGGAGCTGGGAATCAGGGAATCAACCAGTTTGTGAAAGACTTTCAGGAGCATCAAGTCCAATCATTGCCCCACCATTAAAGCATGGCATGAAGAGGCAGGGGGGACAGCTTCCATTAGACCAGGTTGCTCCAAGCCCATCCATTCTTCTCCATCCCGCCCATCCCAGTGTCCCAGCACCCTCACTTCCTTATCTCCAACCTGAACTTCGCTGTTCCAGTTGGAACCCATCACCCCTTGTTCTATGGCTCCAATCCATGCTGACGGCTCCTCTCCACAGCCAAATGATGAAGGAGAACCCAAACTTCCATGGTTCCGCTTCATCCCTGCATCCAGCTGGAGCATCCCACTTCATCCCTGCATCCAGCTGGGGCATCCTGCTTCCAGGCTTGGGATCTTCCCTTAGGACCTCACAAGCTTCAAGGTTGTATCCATCCCAGCTCCCAACACCCATCCCAGCACTCTTTGGACCTCTCCCAGATGCCAGCACTGGGGTCCCCAGTGCCTGGAGCAGGGACTGGGGCCACGGCTCACAGCACCCAGTGCACCCCCAGCACCCATAGAGCCCACAGCACCCATAGCATGCATTGCACCCATACCACCCCCACCACTGCCAGCAACCACAACAGCTCCAGTGCACCCAGTCATCCCAGCACCTATAGAAACCCCAGTACCCACAGAACCCCCCAGCACCCTCAGCACTATATAGCTCCAGTATCGGGGTCCTAGTGCCTGCCCGCTGCCTCCCTCAACGGTGTCCTAGTGCCCGCCCGCTGCCTCCCGCATCAGGGTCCTAGTGCCCGCCTGCTGCCTCCTGCCTGGCAGGGACAGGTCCCAGGCTCCCCCCCAATAACTCCGTGCCGCAGAAAACACATGGACTCAGTCAGAGATCAATATGATCAGACAAAAGCCATTTTTTACAAAGCCGTAACTCCTTTTATAGTATTTCTTACATGCACTTACAGTGATTTGGCATATTATGATTGGATACATGTCTTGAAGACCCTTAGTGACTAACATGTAATTGGTTAAGCACAGGTGTGGGAACTTGACCTCGAAAGCTTGCCAACAGTGCACAGTTGTCATTAACTCTGTGAAATCCAGCTTCTTCTTATCTTGCTTGTTCAGGCTTCCTCGGGCCTCTCACGGCCTTGCTGCATCTTTCAGGATTATTCAGAATTTATGTACCAATTATCCATTCTCCTGAGAGAACACTGCCTCCACATCTCCCCCTTTTTGTTTTATATATGGTTTGGGTGACCCTACTTGAGCAGGGGATTTGCCCTAGATCATATCTCCAATATATGCCAACTACAGGCTGCTGGGCCTGCCCCTTTTTTCTGCTGTATGACTCTCTGGTAACAGGGGAGGCCATCCTTCACATCAAGGTCTGGCATGGCATGTGTCCCCACTGCCAACAGCGGAGCCCAAACAGCCCCAAAAAAGGAGAAAAACACCCCAAAACCACCCCAGAATGACCCCAAAACCACCTTGTCCTGGTTCTCCTATGCAATACAGAGTCAGAGCCCCAAAACAGCCCCAAAACAGAACAAAAACACCCAAAACCACCTTGTCCTCCTTCTTCTACGCGACACAAGGTCAGAATCCCAAACCAGGACATAAACAAACCAAAACCACCCTAAAACCACCCCAAAACCACCTAGCCCTGCTTCTCCTATGGGATACGGGGTCAGAGACACAGAACAGGACAAAAACAGGGCAAAAACAATGCAAAACATCCCCAAAACCACACCCAAAACCACCTTGTCCTGCTTCTCCTAAGGGATACAGGGTAGGAGACCCAAAAGAGACCCAGAACAGAAAAAAAACACCCCAAAACACCCAAAACCACTCCCAAAACACCCAAAAACCACCTTGCCCTGCTTCTCCTAAGGGACACAGGGTCAGACCCCCATAAAGCCCCAAAACAGGCCAAACCCAATGAAAAACCAACTCGAAACACCCAAAACAGCCCCAAAACAACCCAAAACCACCCCAAAACCACCTTGTCCTGCTTCTCCTTTGGGATACAGCGTCAGAGCCCGAAAATAGGACAAAAGAATGCCAAAACATCCAAAACTCCCCAAACCACCCCAAAACCACCTTGTCCTGCTTCTTCTGTAGGATACAGGGTCAGAGTCCCAAAAAGCACACAAAACAGGCCAAAACCAAACCAAAACCACCTGCAAAACCAGCCAAAATCCACCTTGTCCTGCTTCTGCTATGGGATACAGGGTCAGAGTTCCCAAACAGCCCCAAAACAGGACAAATCACTGAAAAACCCCCAAACCACCCCAAAACCACCTTGTCCTGCTTCTCCTTTGGGATACAGCGTCAGAGCCCGAAAATAGGACAAAAGAATGCCAAAACATCCAAAACTCCCCAAACCACCCCAAAACCACCTTGTCCTGCTTCTTCTGTAGGATACAGGGTCAGAGTCCCAAAAAGCACACAAAACAGGCCAAAACCAAACCAAAACCACCTGCAAAACCAGCCAAAATCCACCTTGTCCTGCTTCTGCTATGGGATACAGGGTCAGAGTTCCCAAACAGCCCCAAAACAGGACAAATCACTGAAAAACCCCCAAACCACCCCAAAACCACCTTGTCCTGCTTCTCCAATGGCATACAGGGTCAGAGCCACAAAACAGGAGAAAAACAGGAGAAAAGCAGGCCAAAACACCCCAAACAACCCCCAAAATGGGCCAAAACCACCCCAAAATCACCTTGTCCTGCTTCTCCTGTGGGACACAATTTCTGAACCCCAAAACAGGCTCAAAAAGTACAAAAACAACCAAAAACTATTCAAACCCACCCCCAAAACAACCCCAAACCACCCTAAACCCACCAAAAAAAACACCTTGTCCTGCTTCTCCTGTGGGACACAGAGTCAGAGCCCCAAAACAGCCCTAAAACAGGACAAAACCAACCCAAAACACCCCAAAACCACCTTGTCCTGCTTCTCCTATGGGATACAGGGTAAGAGGCCCAAAATAGCCACAAAACAGACCAAAAACAGGTGAAAAACAGACCAAAACATCCAAAGCAAACCCCAAAACATGCCAAACCACCCCAAAACCCCCTTGTCCTCCTTCTCCTAAGGGACACAGGGTCAGAGCCCCAAAACAGACCCAAAATAGCCCCAAAACAGGCCAAAACCAGGCGAAAACAAGGCCAAAACACCCAAAGCAAACCCCAAACCAAACCCAAACCACCCCAAAACCACCTTCTCCTCCTTCTCCTATGGGATACAGCGTCAGAGCCGCAAAACAGGCCAAAAACAGATGAAAACAAGGCCAAACCACCCTAAAACCACCCCAAAATCACGTTCTCCTGCTTCTCCTGTGGGATACAGGGTCAAAGCCCCCCAAAAGATCCAAAACAGGCCAAAACCACCTTGTCCTGCTTCTTCTAGGGCATACAGGGTAAGAGGCCCAAAAGAGACCCAAAACAGGCCAAAACCAGGCCAAAACACCCAAAGCAAACCCCAAACCACCCCAAAACCACCTTGTCCTGCTTCTCCAATGGCATACAGGGTCAGAGCCCCAAAACAGGACAAAAACAGGAGAAAAGCAGGCCAAAACACCCCAAACAACCTCCAAAATGGGCCAAAACCTCCCCAAAATCACCTTGTCCTGCTTCTCCTGTGGGACACAGGCTCAGAGCCCCCAAACAGACCCAAAACAGGCCCGAAAGAGGAAAAAAACACATCAAAACACACAAAACCACCCCTAAAACAGCCCAAGCCAACCCCGAAGCACCGGCTCGTGCTGCAGCTCTGCCTCATTCCAGAGCCTTGGATCATCTGGGAGCACGGGATCCCATTGGCATCACAGCTCCTGGTGCTTGGGAGCAGATCCTATGGGATCTGGATCCAGATCCGGATGCTCCACACATGGACACGGATCCAGGTCTGGATCCGGTTGTAGGGGGGAGCGCAGACACGGAATTCCATGGGGCTGGAATAGCAGAACTGGGCTCCAGGAGGGGGCCTCTGGGGTGGGGGGGAGAGACACCATTGCCCCTCATTGTCTCCATTGACCCTATTGGCCCCCATTACCCCCTTTGCCCTCCCCATTACCCCCACTGCCCATTACCCCCATTACCCCCATTGCCCATGTTACCCCATTAACCCCCATTACCCATTGCCCCCATTGCCACCCGTTACCCCCATTCCCAACTCACTTCCCACTGCTCCGCACTGGATCCAAAGATGGGGCTGGGGATGCCCCGGTCCCGCCGCGCATCCGGTTGCGGCTCCCATTGAGGCTCCAGGGACCCCGGGTTCGAGCCCCGAGCTCCCGGGTTCGAGCCCCGGTGCCCCCGGAGCAGCGGCGAGAGCCGGGGGGGGAAGCCCCGGTGCCCCCCCCCCAAGGAGCAGCGCCCCCAGCACCGGGCGGCGCCGCTCCCGTAGCAGCCCCGGGGCCCGGTGCAACAGCGCCCCCAAGCGGGCGGCCAGGACCCGCGCTATGGGGTGTTGGGGGGCGGGCACTGGGACCCCCAAGTTATACGGCACGGTCTGGGGGTCCCCGTTTGTGCCCTCCCCCAAGTTATGGGGCGCCCCCTTTGTGGCCCCCAAGGTATGGGGCAGGCTCTGGAAGTTTCCTATGGAGCCCCCCAAGTTATGGGGTGCCCCCTTTGTCCCCCCCAAGTTATGAAGCGGGGTCTGGGTCCCCCCAATGGAGCCCCCTAAGGTATGGGGCGGGCTCTAGGGGTCCCCCTTTGTGCCCCCCCCATGTTATGAGGCACCCCCTTCGTGCCCCCCAAGCTATGGGGCGGGGTCCGGGTCCCCCCTATGGAGCCGCCCAAGTTATGGGGCACCCCCTCTGTGCCCCCCTCAAAGTTATGGGGCACCCCTATAGTGCGGGGGGTGCCGAGGCCCCGCCCCACGTGACCCGAGGTGACCTCGCTGGCGAAGAGCCCGCGGGGGTGGGGCAGGAGGCGGTGCTGGGTGATGACCACGTGACGCGGAGGGGGGAGAGGGGGCCAGGATCGGGTCCGGGCCCCGCCCCCTTCCCTTCCCCCCCCCCCGCGCCCGCCCCAGTTTGGTCCCGTCCGGTTCCCGCCAATTTCTCCCATCATGGCGGAGCTGGAGCTCCCCTCCGATCCCGACCTGCGCAGGTTGGAGCCCGCGGGACCCCCCAGTGGGGGCTTTTGGGGTCCTGGGGGGGTTGGGGTGCTCCTGACCCCCTCTCTTTGTCTCCCCCCCACCTCCAGGCTGTGCACGGGGCCCTGAGCCCCCATCCGGGAGTACATCATGGGCCACGTGCGGCACCCGCGGTGAGGGGGGCACCCCAACATCTGGGGGGGAGGAACTGCAACATCTGGAGGGACCCCGAACCTCGGATCGGTCCCTAAAATGCATGGCGGGGGGGGGGGGGGGTGGGGGTGGGGGTGTTCCTACAGGAATGTGAAGAAGATCAAAGGGAACCTGCTGTGGTATCCGCTGCACCCCAAAGTGGGGGGGGGGGACACCCAAGCTCATTGGGGAGCCTCCAAAACCCCCCAGGACCCTCCCAAACCCCTTTGCCTGTTAGGACCCCCCCAAAATTCCATTGGGATCCCAACAACCCCCCAGCACCCCCCAATTCCCGCTTGTGACCGCCCCCCCCCAACCCCTTCTCCCAGATCCATGCGCAGGAGCCCAAATTCCTTTAGGACCCCTCCAAATGCCATTGGGATCCCAGGAACCCCCAATTCCCTCCCATGATCCTCTCTGACCCCCCCCAACCCCTCCTGTACCCCTCCCCCCCCCCCCCCCCAGGTTTTGTCCTTAACTCGGGGCTCAGGTACCAGCACCTCAAGGAGATTCAGGTTTGGGGGGCGGGGTGGGGAGCGTTAGAGGGTTTTGGGGGGTCCCACAGGGACCAAAACACCCCCTCAGCACCCCAAAACACCCCCCTGCATCCCAAAACGCCCCTTCTGCAGTCCAAAACCATGCCCCCTGCACACCAAAACACAACCCCTGCACCCTAAAATCACCCCCATGCATCCCAGAAGCCCCACGGCCCCCCAAAACCGCCCCCCTGCACCCCAAAACACACCTCTGCACCCCAAATCTACCCCCACTGCACCCCAAAAGCACCCAGTGTGCACCCCAAAACAACCCCTCTCTGCACCCCAAAACACCCCCTCTGCACCAAAACCACCCTATGGATTCCCCCATGCACTCAAAACCCTCTCAAGGACCCCCCCGAATACATCCTGCAGCCCGGTTTCCCCCCCTGCAACCCAAAACTGCCCCTGGGCCCTCCCCCATGATCTTTTCCTCCCCACTCTTGAACCCCAGAACCTTTTAGGGACCCCCTCTATACTTTAAACCCCCCTGGGTTTTCTTCTCAAGTGGGTGCTGGGCTCATAGGGGTCCTTAAAGCCCCCCCACACTCTCCCTAAACCCAGTGCTGAGACCTGGTCCCTGCAGCCCTTTTGGGGCCCCCAAAATGGGATCTGGACCCCTTTGGGCCCCCCAAACTCCCCTCAACGTTTGGCTTTGGGCTCCCCCTTGGCACCAGGTTGATGCTGGAGGCCACGGGGCTCCCAGGGGCTCGGGGGGCCCAGATCCAGCAGGGCCCAGAGCTATGGGGCAGCCCCATGGACTCCCCAGAAACTGCCCTGGGGCCACTGAGGAGGCAGCTGCAGGAGGGGAAGCAGCGGCTGGTGGGTGGAAACAGGGGAATGTGGGGATTTGGGGGGGTCCTGATGGGCCTGGGGGGGCCTGGGAAGTGGAATTTGATGGTTATGGGGAGGGGTTGGGGTCCCTAAAGGGTCCCAGCGCCGCTTTTTGGGAGGGATGAGGGATATCTGGGGGTCCTGGAGGGGGATTTTGGTTCTATAGGGGATGACATGGGGGAGTTTGGGGCTTTAGGGGGAATTTTGGGGGTTCAGCGGTG